TTTCATGTTCTGTAAATTGTATTTAAAACAAAGCTGCTGCTGTTGATCATTCTGTTTTCATAAGCCCCGCCCCCAAGGCCAGGACTCTAAGGGAAACACTTTTTGAAGATGTTCTTGATAAAACAACTGACTGTTAGTAACTCAGTCTAAAATGTTTGCATCAGTTTAATCAGATGTCATATATTATATACTTCTGTATAACCATGTTAATATTTTTGTAGTACAAAGTACAGTACACGTTTTTCTTATTTTATCAAAATTTGAACATTTTTTGTTTCGGGCAGGTWACATTTGTTATCGGGCAGGTAAAAAAATAAAATCTTGTCGAACCCTGATTTGTAATAAAGCTTACTGTGTGAAACCTGGGTAAACATTTGGGGAGTTRTGTTTATTTTAGTTTGGAATACAGGGGCCCATCCAAGATGGCAGCCGTGCTGAAACACCTCTGRAAGGCAACGCCAGTCTCTGAGGCATTCTACTGTATATACAGTAATATGACTGAAACACCAAGAAAAGCTGATAAAAGTCAGACTTAAGACACTGCTTGAGTGACATGACTGCATGGCCTTATAGTGCCGGTCTGGTTTGAACTGCAGCTACACAAATGATTTGAAATGAACAAACAATTTAACGCGCTGATATGGGACGGGACAGAAGCAGAAGGTGGTTCTTAAAGAGACAGAGRCCAATTTCAAGGCATTTAGAAGAGGAAGTGATGAGAAGATAAGTTTATTTTCTATTTAAACATAAAAACAACATTTTAATAACAGCTAAAGGTGACATAGATATTTTATTATGGTATAATATTTAAATATAAGCCTGAGAAACACATAATATTGGCCCTTTAAACTACATAAAAGACTGTCAGTTTTGTTAATGCTAACAAGCTAGGTTTTTATGTAAACAAACAACTCAGTCAAAAAAAAGAACAACTTTTCCTTCACAATGTTTGTAGAGCCACTATTCAAGGTGCTGCATGCTTATTGGAGTTGTGCCCCTGGTTGTTTAGCACATTTTGCCAATTTACATAAACCACAATACAATTTTTAAACAAACTCATTATCAAAAATACAGTACAAATGAATGATTAAGAGGCTACAAGTTTTTTTGTTGATTGAGCTAAGTACAGGAGTTACAGATCAAARTGTTTCATACCTTATACTAGCACCACTACAGTGGACTGATGTCTTTTTTGTATTATATAGCAGTTAGTGTACACTATTCTTACTATGAAAAACTTCTCAAAACCACTGACAAGTTTGGTTCCATGACTGATTTTGTGATTTTTTTTAAATTTAAGACAGTCTAGGCCATGCCCACTTTATTCGTGAATAATTGCCTTTTAGGTTCAGGCTCAAGGTGAGGGTCTAAAGATCTGTGCCAAATTTCACGAATATCCGATGAGACATTTTTCTGTGAAAACTTTTTGTGGTTTATATTGCCCCATAAGTCAATAATTTTAAAATTTGGTCCACCAACTAAAACCGACTCTTGTACTATGTGTATGATTTTCATCTGATTATGTACTAATGTTTTGAAGATACGGCAGAATTTTTGTTTAGCTAGGTTGCCTAAGTTATTTGCCAAGGCATAACTCACACATTTTAACATTTTTATACGTGTCCACTGAAACTTAGAACCGGCATGCAAACTAAATATAGGATGGTAATTTCTGTTGGACTTTAAACCTTTGAATAAAAGCTAAAAATAGTTTGTGCAAAATTTGCGCTGTAGAAAAAAGTGTCTTTGACGGAAATGGGGCGTGGCCTATACATGTGACTCAGTGGTGTCCAAACACCTCATGAAGGTAATGTTGCTACAAGCCAAATAATTTTGACTGAATCAAATAATCAACACAAAAGTCTGTAAAAATGGAATAAATAACAGACGCCGATAAACTTTAGTCAGTTTTAAATTGTTTCAGAGATTGCTATGGTTTTCCATTATTGTGAAAGGATATCAAAAAATTGTCTGTTTCTGCACCAAGTCTTGCTGCCGTCTCTTACCGGACAATGGGGAGCTTTGTGAAGGGCACTGAAGGGAGCTTTAGTCCATCAGAAAGCGTGATGACATCCATCCCACCAGGGCATTTGGAGGTGTAGTTCTCCAAACTCTGGGTCACTTCTTTTTTCTCTAAAAARCATTAACAAACAAAAATCCAACAACTTTAAGTACACAAAGAGGTGTGTACATATTAAAAGTTCAGAACACAACCACAACGCTTCAATTAATTTGATCTGAGAAAATTCATATTAGAATGTGATATAAATCAACCAAAGATTAACGAAGCACACCCCAGGCTTCGAGCAAAGTTTTATCGTATCATCAATACCTTCTGAGAACATTTGCTGTGGCTCTGCAGGCTGCAGGGGTTTCACTATGTTCATCAATAGAGACGACCATTAACTGCCATAAAATTCTCTACAAGTTCTGYAGAAGAACTTTTAAAGATTACAGACTTTTTATATCAAAAATAAATGTTCCAGTTCATTAAGGCTACCTTTCCTGTATAGATTAAAGGTTTACTATTCCCATAGGTTGACTAAACAGAAGCAGTTCAAGAAAACAATTACAAGTGCAGCTTGCACACAATCCTATAACCTTGTAAAATAAATGAAAGGAAATCTGAAGACGACACCTGTAGGTTAGAGTGAAAGAAGAAAGAGAAGACAGAGAGAAAGTGTGAAGAAGGGGAGAAAAAGAACAAGGATTAATGTAACAACAGCTCTAATCTTGACTCAAATGTTTTCTGTAGATGAATCCAAAGASTAAAAAAACAAAACTGTGGCCATGRCAKGMMAAATATKACCCGTCATGGTGTTGGATGTGAACAGGAGAGCTTCAGRTGTATTACTTTCTAGGAATAAATAGTTTTAATGCCATGAAGGACATCCCAGGCATAAACGAACTAAGTGGCTGCTTAGGGCTCCACAGCCACTAGGGGGCCTCGTGACAGAAGCATGGTAAACTGAACTGATCATAGAGTTAACGCTGAGATTGGCGTAATGGACGTGGGGTACGAGTGGGACATGTCCCCCTCACTTTCTGTATCTGTACTCTCTGTCCCCTGCACTTTTTTTAACCTTTACAACTGTTTAATCTGCTATTAAGATGCGGTAACGCATTTTTCCGAGCCGTCTTTAAACACACCATGAGAACGTGCTGCTGGGTGAAGACCTGTGGATCACTGAGGGGTGCAGATCTGGCTGTCTGTGAGTTTTGGAGGATAAGAACGGCCGGTTCTGTCGGGTCAGGCAGCTGCTACACAGCCACTTGTGTTTTTGTTCTTTTGCCTCATAAAATGCTGCTGGTACTGCTGGTACTGATGGTACTGCTGGTACTGATGGTACTGATGTTACTGAATGTACTGATGGTACTGAT